GATGAGAAAAATTGATCATTCAGAAAACATGATTGCAAAAATTGAATTTTAAAATGAAATTTCAGTACGACTCCCCCCCTAAAATTCCATTTTTAAGAGGGTAGGGATGAAAATTGAAGTGTCAGGCTTGGCAATGCTGCATCATTTCCAACAACCCGCTTGGACCCAATAGTACACATAAATCACATACCTTCAGAGTTAGTACTGCAGCGCTTCTGCGATCTCTGGCTGTGCGTAGTTTTGAAATGTTGTGAATCACTCGTTGCGCAGATGCCAAGTCACCGGTGCGCGCAACATGCATCTGGTTTTGATACGTGTTGTCACTCCTCCTCCTGCTGTTATGGCCTTGGGGTCTTGACACGTGGGAATATATAGGAAAATAATGGAAAATGGGCAAATGCTGTAACCACATGTAACAACCAAAGCATGCAGTGAGCCCAAGCTTCAAACAAGAGACATGGTGGTTGGACGGTGAAATTCATGCAATTCATGCAGCACGATCGAAAGAAGCTTGGGAATCCAAAGAAACAATATATTTTTACCGAATATTCCAAGAGAAAACCTTTGTTTCAGCTTGTGGAGCCTCCTGGATAATGTCAACTTGGCTTTACTTTGCAAATCAGGAGTGATTTCAGGTCCATAAAAACGAGTTCTTGATAGTATGTATCATCCGGAAACGTTGCTTAATAGTGTTGTGGCATGTTGTGTCTGTGCATAATAGATCGATGTAGGCCCTTCAGGCCTCCCCTCTCTCTCTCTCTCTATACTGTTTCGTCGATGGTGACCGCGTCCGCGCCTTAGCACCTCGGCTGTATGAGGCTAGGAGCGCTCCCTCATGGGTTGCCATAGGCACCACATATTCACGGTTGGCATACTCTCCGTTGACCTGCCCAAGCATACCAAAATCACAATACAGATTTGCCATGATTTGCCTAAGATGTGTACTTCCAAATTATTTGTATTCTTCCACTCGTCAACATTCAGGGTCGTTAGAGGAAAAAGAGTGTAGCTGGTGCCATCTGTGCACTGTGTATTGACTGGCGGCTGCATTTGCTCGTGCGCCTTCAAGGGCCCGATTACGCCGATTGGGTACTTCACAGTGCCCACGTAGTTCTCTGTGTTGTTCCTGGAACCGCTGTGTCTGGCTGCAGAAAGTGGTGGGTTGCTGATAGGCTTGCTCCAACCTCCATCAAGCACACTTTTGCTATCCCTATATACTTGTGATGGAAGTGCATTGAAAGCTGAACTTGAGTCCGTCTGTTGTGTGTCATCTAAACACAGCCCATGCGTGTGTGCTTCAGTGGTCTCTGGATCCTGTAGACTTCCGCATCCTTCACAGACTGCTCGTCTGCTACGTAGTCCTGCCGCACACATGTATACTGTACACTCATGACGGCTCAGCGTGGGTTGTTCATCCACAGAAAATGTGCTAATTGCTGCCAGGATTCCCAATATTCTTCACTGACTGGTACATTTTGTCCCCGAACGATAAGCTGCCTGCGGCCAAACCATGACATGAACGAGGTAAAATACAAAATGAAAACATGCCCAAGTTGATTGCTAAATTTGCAAAGCTGATCACACCTCTTCTCACGATCAGACATGCAGAGCGGACGGGAAAAATGTCGAGTCTGGGAAAGGCATGGTGCCAGGCAACGAATCGACTGTCGGCCTAAGGGCCCGGCTGTGACTATGCCATCTATGCAAATGGCTGGAGAGAAGCAGTTTGACTTTTACATCTTTACACATCTTTACACATCTTTACACATCTTTACACATCTTTACCCTTATAATTATAATATACTATGATCCTTTATACACTTTTATCGTATGATATCATATGTAATACAATGTAATACATTGTAATACATGTTCATTTCTTTTCTGTAAGGTTCTATAGAGAATGTTTCTTTCGAGCAACTCTGCAGGTTGACCATTGCGGAGTTGATCGAAGGATTCGACAGAAGTTCCAGCTTCAGTCTTTGTAGTCCTCTGGCCAATCTTTGATATGTTGATATATGTTGTCTATTTCTTGGCTTTAGCTCTATGGGCGGCACTCACCCATACTGACATTATCACAGGCTAAGATTAGGACTCAGTGGAAGCACGAGGCGGCTGAGCATGTTCACCTGCACGCGGAACGAGTGGACAAGCGATGGGCCAATGCAACTGATCGATTCTGTAGATTCACTATTTTCATCTATAGCATTCTATAGCTCTTTGAGGACTCTGCAACACAGCGCTGTCGCAGCAGTGAGAGAGCTGAAAGCTTGGCTGAGGCCAAGTTCTATACTGTTTGGAGCCAAAATGATTTGCGAACGAAAAGATGTGACTCCCGGTTCAAAGTGCATACTGTAGTACGCACACATCAATGCAACTCTTCAAAGGGTGTGCGGGAGATGCTCGTGCGCGTCAGGGGACATCGGAATAATAAAACATGATTAGATCGATGTATATTGATGCATGACATGTAAATCATGTAACATTATGATATATACCTAGTATAGTAGCTAGTAGATACATCCAAAATGGAGCCAGCGCAATCAAGGCACCAAGTGTCAAAATTTGAAACAACATGTATCAAATAAATCAAAATACTTCTGTCAAATGTGCATGTTGTGAAAGGTTTCGTCCTTCAAAAAGAGCCAGTACATCGCACCATGGTAGGGCAGCTCCGCCTGAGGAATTGCTTGGTCCAAGCTCTTGGTTAAGTCGATTTCCATCGCTTAATTCAGAGGTACCCTACCCACGGGCCCAAGACATTCCACCGATTCCACCGATTCCACCCAGCCAAACTCCGCCTTCAAAAATGTGGTGAGGACGGACTGCGCTCAGTGTGCCATGTTATGGCACAGTAATATCAGTAATGTCTGTGAGCCTTGGGAGTCCTGATCAACATCCATCGCGAACAAACAAATGCAGCCTAAGCCTTGAGCCGACATCGGGTCACGCATCGACAAGCTGATTGCTAGTTCCATCTGGCTGGAGGAATTTGCCACTAATGATGATAGTTGATAGTTGACATGCCCGTGCCACAGGATGCAGAAATATGCAGAATGGTGAAAGACCTTTGGCAGCTGAACCGAGAAGTGGCTAAAGTCTTCGAAGGCGAAGTGCGGATTGCGAATGATCTTCTGTGGCACATGGACGTGCCAATGTGCCACCTATCGAGCAAAAAGATGTCAGCATGATTATTTTCATGTATTATATGTATTGAAGATTGCCAGCGCTTTCAATCCACAGGAATTCATCTATTCAATCCGCTCTTCTTGGCATTTTGTACAAAGCCGGCTGTGAATGGCTTTGAATCACAGGCCTGACCAAGGAGCACTTTGACGATGTGACTCAATCCACGGGAGAAGTTCTGTTCTACCAACAACATGCAAGCACAATTTCATTGTGCCCTGACAAATGAAGAGCCAACAGAATTGACCAGATATGAAAAGAATTGGAAAGAAAAGAATCCAAAAGACTTGAAGGCCTCAGGGCTATCTGGGAAGTTCAAAACGACGCAGGCAGCTGTGTCCTGTGAAAGTAGCTGCTTCCACAGCTACTCTTCTGGGGCAGTCGGTGGAGGTCGGAAACAGTGAAGCTGTGATGGAATATCCAGAATTTAAGATATCCAAGCAGAAAAGATCAGAAAAGCATGGTCTTGAAATGAAACGAAATGATGAAATGGCTACATGGCCACTGCGCTGCCAAACGCAGCGAACCATGATCACCATGCAAAATGCGCGTGCACATGCAAGCACAAGGTGATTGATGAACCACCGCACCACCATGCACCACCGTTAGTTCCGTTCGTTTGTGGAATATGCCGTTTGCAGAATGTGTGCAGTCCGCTTGTCGGCTTGCCAGTGTCCTCCATATGGCGAAGTCCTCGGAATTGCGAGTCTTCCCGACCTTGGGGGGGGTCAAAACATCCGCCGGTTCTCAAGCTTTTGACACCGAGTTCAACAAGAAACGTGAAAGCAGATTCAAGAAGTAGAAAATAAGTTTGAAAACAGTGCCAAAAACCATCAAAAAACCGTCAGTTTGCGAAACCTTGGAAGGCGCAGTGCGCGGAGAGCACCATTGTAGGCTTCGCACCAGGAACAATTCCCTCCCTCTGGGAGAGCAGAGACCCATCCACCTTCCAACAACTGCAAAACACTGCAGATACTGAAAAAGTATGAAAAAGTGAACTAGCTTGGAACAAGGTCTTTGACAGGAGCACTAGAGATTGTTGCACGCAGAAGGCAATACATGCCTTGCATCTTTGCCAGGTAGTTGAAGTTCCACCCTGCTGCAGGAAGGCTACGGCTAAGGCATGCATGATTCAAGTCTTGCTTGATATCAAATCCCCTTTGCTTCCCTCGTCCTTTTCAATTCACATACTGGACTGCAGATCATTGTGAAGACATGTGAAAACTATTCAAGCCATTGCACACAGAGGGAGGGTCGAGCTGATGAACAAGCAGTGTGCCATTGGTAGACAAGCCCAACACCTGAGCATGCCAGGCATGCCAGCTCTGCGGGCTTTCCACACTACAGTCTTCTACATGCTATAGCCAAATTGGATCGCAAAGGGTTGAATATGGATTGAATATGATTGAATTCATGGACCAGGAGAAAGGAAAGCAGAATCATGATATGATACTCAAAAAGATCAAAAAGCAAACACGCTGCTTGACTTCAGCCAAAATCCACAACATTAACATCGGCTGTATGCTCCTTGAGGTACAGCATTACATGACATTGTGATGACCAAAATTATGAATCGTTGAACGAGTTCCCAGCAGCGGAGCCATCATGTAGAGCTGCGAGATGTTCCGCAGCACTGTGCACGCCCTGCTCCACCTTGCGCATCTTGCGCATCTTGCGCATCTTGCGCATCTTGCGCATCTTGCGCTTGGATTTGGGATATTTGAATCTGACTCTTCGTCCATTCCGTCCACTGTGAACACATGTGAACACATGTGCCAAACAAGCTACGGATTCATGGCAATCTGGCTTGACAACGCCGTCTGGCACAATCTCCAAAAAGGATGGACCGATGCCAGAACTCTGGCAAAGGACGATTATATCGACCTGACAGGCTGCAAATTGCGCCTCCAACAGTGGAACAAGTGTGCTCGCATTTTGCTCCTGAATGCATAAGCGAAGTACACGCAACTTCGGTTTGCGGCAACACCTGTTGCTGCAACACTTGCACGGTCTCAGCTATGATCTCACTGGCAGGACGTACGTGAGAAATAGCTGTTCAGTGCTGATCAACAGTGTGAACTGATCATTGGAACATTGGAAACATGCAGTTGTTGCATCCCAGATTTAATACTCTTGAGCTACATTCACCTCATTTCACCTCTATAACAATTGCTAAACTATTGACAATTGGGATATTATTGGGATACTTGACATATGATCAAACCGGAATGATGAAATATGATGATTGATATACCCGGATTATCAGTCCTTCAGACATCCCAATTTTTTATCAATAGTAAATGATGATCCCAATAATTTCAACATATGGCAGTGTGTCAAAACCCTGGTACCTAGTGAACCCCAAAATAGCTGGTAAATGGATGTTCATCCCACTAAAAATGTATCTATAGGTATTGACCCATACCCATATCCCTTTCAGATCCCAACACAGTGTCCTGTGGCAAGCCCGCGGCATGCTTCAACTGGGAGCCCAGCTGCACGAGGCCACGCCCCTGCGTTGCGGGCCACCGCAAAGAAAAAATGGACCGCTTCGGGTGCCAAAATATAACATATAATACTATATATATATATACAGTATATATATAATATATATATATACTGTATATAATTATATATGTATACACACATTATAGTGTGTTATCATTTGTATTAGTCACATTACTGTCACATTATAGTGTGTTGTCATCTGTATTAGTCACATTAATGTCACATTATAGTGTGTTATCATTTGTATTAGTCACATTAATGTCACATTGATGTCACATTATAGTGTGTTATCATTTGTATTAGTCACATTAATGTCACATTATAGTGTGTTATCATTTGTATTAGTTGTACTATGTACTATATACTGTCTATATACTGTCTATATACTCTCGATTAATGGCACTGCTGCTCTCCACTTCTCACCGTGTGTAGAATCCGGAGGTGGCAAGATATGGCCCACCAAAGTTGATCAGTTGATCCAGTAAGTTTGAATGTCAGAGGAGTATTGCACAATCTTGCACATTTGCCAGCACAAACCAGACTGGATGCCACCACAAAACATGACAAAAACATGTCACTTCATCATGTTGAATCCAGGAAACATGTGGAAACATCACAATTCCATCCGTTTTGCTGCTTCGCAAGAGCTTCGGCGAGCATAGTGAGACTGATGCAAAGACAGACATTGGTCAATTTGTTGCTATCTGACAATTGGAAAGCATTGGAAGAATGATGATTCTCGATGTATCAAAAATATACAAACACTATGTAGATTTGTCAGCTCTGTTCGTGTGCTTGAGTCCAATCTGATTCTCTTGGGCTAACAACATTCGGGAAAGGCTAAAAGGTTTTTTACCCAGTTTTGCCAAAGTCCCTGGATCATAAACTTTCCAGCTGCGGTGAAACACTTTGCATAAGGGCCACAATTTTCGGACCTGCAATTAGAAATCAAATGTCAGCAATTTGCTCACACGTATTCTTGCAATTCTTCTGGCTTTGCAACAGCATCTTCCGGCTTTGCAACTGCATCAGGAGAAATGGTTCGAAGCTGCAGGCAACAAATAATCATGATAGCAGTACAAGACCGGCAGAAGTACACACACACCTCCATTGTCATGTCTTCTCGTGTCTTCTAATGATTCTAGACCAGTTTGAAACTATCTCCCGAGATCTCCCGAGTCATGTCTATGAAAGGTCAAGTCGGTCAAGCACCTCCAAACTCCTTCAACTCCGTCAGCCTGCCTGCGATGAAATCATGATTCAAAATAATTCTACTTCACTACAGCAAATACTCCCACCCAAATTTTTGATGTATGCTGAAAATCATGGAAGTCGCTGTGGATGAGCAATATAATAGCATCTTTCATTCATCGTGCTCCCGTGTCACCAGCTCCAAGTTGCATCAAACATGCGGCCTTCGATGTACTGAGCAAAGCCAGTCTTCACCTGGATTTTCCACAGCTGCGAACAGTCATACTGCAAAGTTGAATGCTGAAGCACGCGCCTTGCCCCACACTCCAGGAAGTTGCGCTTCAGGAATTTTTCCTGTCAAGTGGAAAGAGCATGAAAGAACTCTTGAAGCTTCAGCATTTCGTGGCCTTTGTACCATTTTGTACCATTTTGTACCATTGTTCCCCACATCTTTGTGTGGGGTTCTTGTTTTTGGTTCTGCATCCCGTCCGCCGCCTCCTCCTCCCGCTCCCGTCGCCTCCTCCCGTCACACACAACTTGTGCTCACACATAACTTGTCCACACACCACTTCTCATCACACCACTTGGCACATCTCATCACACCACTTGTCACACCACTACTTGTCCACACACAACTTGTCATCACGCCACTTGTCTTCACACTACTTGTCCACACACAACTTTGTCCACACATAACTTGTCATCACGCCACTTGTCTTCACACTACTTGTCCACACACAACTTTGTCCACACACAACTTGTCATCACACCACTTGTCATCAGACCACTTCTCATCACACCACTTGTCATCACACCACTTGTCTTCACAAACTTGTCCACACACAACTTGTCATCACACAACTTGTCATCAGACCACTTCTCATCACACCACTTGCTCACACACAGCTTGTCATCACACCACTTGTCATCAGACCACTTCTCATCACACCACTTGTCATCACACCACTTGTCTTCACACAACTTGTCCACACACAACTTGTCATCACACAACTTGTCGTCAGACCACTTGTCATCACACCACTTGCTCACACACAGCTTGTCATCACACAACTTGTCGTCACTTTGCGTGGCAGGCGTGGCACGTATGGCACTGGGCTGGCTCTGGTGGCGCGCTCGGTTCCCACGTGCCCCGCGGCTTTTTGCGTGGCAGTCGTGGCACTTGGAGACATTCATCTTCGTTTCACGTGGCAGGCGTGGTACTTGGTGACATCCACCTTCGTTTCACGTGGCAGGCGTGGCACTTGGCGACGTGGATCGTCACTTTGCGTGGCAGGCGTGGCACTTATCGCGCTGGGCTGGCTCTGGTGGCGCGCTTGGTCAGCCATGGCGCCGTGACGCCGCGGCCTTTTGTGTGGCAGGCGTGGCACTTCGTGACATCTGCCTTCACTTTGTGTGGCAGGCATGGCACTTCGTGACATCTACCGTCGTTTTGTGTGGCAGGCGTGGCACTTGATGACATGGATTGTTACTTTGCGTGGCAAGCGTGGCACTTATGGCACTGGGTTGGCTCTGGTGGCACTTGACGCCATGACGTGGCACTTCGTGACATCTGCCTGCACTTTCTGTGGCAGGCGTGGCACTTTGTGTGGCATGCAGGCGTGACACTTGATGACATGGATTGTTACTTTGCGTGGCAGGCGTGGCACTTATGGCACTGGGTTGGCTCTGGTTGCTTGGTCAGCCATGGCGTTACTTTGCGTGGCAGGCGTGGCACTTATGGCACTGGGTTGGCTCTGGTGGCGTGCTTGGTCAGCCATGGCGCTACTTTGCGTGGCAGGCGTGGCACTTATCGCGCTGGGCTGGCTCTGGTGGCGCGCTTGGTCAGCCATGGCGCCGTGACGCCGCGGCCTTTTGTGTGGCAGGCGTGGCACTTCGTGACATCTGCCTTCACTTTGTGTGGCAGGCATGGCACTTCGTGACATCTACCGTCGTTTTGTGTGGCAGGCGTGGCACTTGATGACATGGATTGTTACTTTGCGTGGCAAGCGTGGCACTTATGGCACTGGGTTGGCTCTGGTGGCACGCTTGGTCAGCCATGGCGCCGTGACGCCGCGGCCTTTTGTGTGGCAGGCGTGGCACTTCGTGACATCTGCCTGCACTTTCTGTGGCAGGCGTGGCACTTTGTGTGGCATGCAGGCGTGACACTTGATGACATGGATTGTTACTTTGCGTGGCAGGCGTGGCACTTATGGCACTGGGTTGGCTCTGGTTGCTTGGTCAGCCATGGCGTTACTTTGCGTGGCAGGCGTGGCACTTATGGCACTGGGTTGGCTCTGGTGGCGTGCTTGGTCAGCCATGGCGCTACTTTGCGTGGCAGGCATGGCACTTATGGCACTGGGTTGGCTCTGGTGGCGCGCTTGGTCAGCCATGGCGCCGTGACGCCGCGGCCTTTTGTGTGGCAGGCGTGGCACTTCGTGACATCTGCCTTCACTTTCTGTGGCAGGCGTGGCACTTCGTGACATCTACCGTCGCTTTGTGTGGCAGGCGTGACACTTGATGACATGGATTGTTACTTTGCGTGGCAGGCGTGGCACTTATGGCACTGGGTTGGCTCTGGTGGCGTGCTTGGTCAGCCATGGCGTTACTTTGCGTGGCAGGCATGGCACTTATGGCACTGGGTTGGCTCTGGTGGCGCGCTTGGTCAGCCATGGCGCCGTGACGCCGCGGCCTTTTGTGTGGTAGGCGTGGCACTTCGTGACATCTGCCTTCACTTTGTGTGGCAGGCGTGGCACTTCGTGACATCTACCGTCGCTTTGTGTGGCAGGCGTGACACTTGATGACATGGATTGTTACTTTGCGTGGCAGGCCTGGCACTTATGGCACTGGGTTGGCTCTGGTGGCGCGCTTGGTCAGCCATGGCAGTCGACGGTGCTCATATGTCTGTTATCAATCTGTGCTTCTGAAACTAACAGTCTTCGTGACAGCCGGTGTTTTCTGTTGTTCTGCCAGGCACCGACTTCGTCGCGCAGATGCTGCTGTTCAATACCTGCATGCATACATACATACATACATTACATTACATTACATTACAGTACATTACATTACATTACATTGCATTACATTACATTACATTTCATTACATTACATACATACATACATTAATACATTACATACATTACATACATTACATACATTACATACATTACATACATTACATACATTACATACATTACATACATTACATACATTACATACATTACATACATTACATACATTACATACATTACATACATTACATACATTACATACATTACATACATTACATACATTACATACATTACATACATTACATACATTACATACATTACATACATTACATACATTACATACATTACATACATTACATACATTACATACATTACATACATTACATACATTACATACATACATTGCATACATTACATACATTACATACATTACATACATTACATACATTACATACATTACATACATTACATACATTACATACATTACATACATTACATGCATTACATACATTACATACATTACATACATTACATACATTACATACATTACATACATTACATACAATACATACATTACATACATTACATACATTACATACATTACATACATTACATACATTACATACATTACATACATTACATACATTACATACATTACATACATTACATACATTACATACATTACATACATTACATACATTACATACATTACATACATTACATACATTACATACATTACATACATTACATACATTACATACATTACACATTACATTACATTACATACATTACATACATTACATACATTACATACATTACATACATTACATACATTACATACATTACATACATTACATACATTACATACATTACATACATTACATACATTACATACATTACATACATTACATACATTACATACATTACATACATTACATACATACATACATTACATACATTACATACATGACATACATTACATACATTACATACATTACATACATTACATACATTACATACATTACATACATTACATACATTACATACATTACATACATTACATACATTACATACATACATACATACATGCACAACTTAATCATACCGGTCTATACGTGGATGTTATTGCGAAAGAGCTGGCGCTGTCTGAGGCGACTTGATGTTATTGGATTAGTGATTAGTGTGTTCAGTATTGTTTGTCTAGCTGGCCTTCTATTTGGATGCAAATCATTCATCTGGTTGCGTACGCCAATCCTTCACCATCTCTTTTCTCTTTCCTGCTTTCCCCATGCCATCTTTACCTTTCTTTTGCTGCTTGTTGGAAGAAGTTGACATGTGGGGTTATCCGGTCCTTTAATTTTTCGAAGAAAAACATACCCAATTTCAGCAGCTGTAGGCCATGGACAGCCATGGACAGCTGCCCATCTTGCGCCTGTTGTCTCAGCATCCACTTGCCCACAGGCATTCAACCATTGTGCTCCCATAAACTGCGCCACCTGTTGAGCAGCTGTTGCTATCTTCAAAGCGTATCACTCCTCTTTGGGGTAGTTGGCGATGGCCACTGGTCCGTCTCTCTACTTCAGCCACTTTTCCCCCTGATTTTTCGGAGAAGGTAGTGGGTTTCACATGCAATGTGTTCTCTGAACTTAGGGTCTTTCTGCAATCTCAGAGAACATTCTAGAGCGCACGAAGGAAAGCATACCTATCGCCACCAATTCCTGGCCTTGGCTTCACTTGCTGGAAGCCCGTTGGCCGAAATCCTCGGCTTCTTCAACTGCCACTATTTGCCACTCTCAGCAAGTGCCCTGATCAAAAATACCCAAGGAATACTGAAACTGATCTCTACTGCCAGGTTTCAATGCTTCCAGCAACTTGGCCGTGTCCGAGGCCTGTTGAGACCACGACTCCAGTGCGTCAAGAAGTGAATGAAACACAAAAACGCAAAATGCAACAGACATCAATGGATTGGTTTAAGGGAAAATCTACACAAAATCATGGTTTTGAGATGATTTTAGCCTCAAACATAGAGGTGTCCTGCAAATTTTCCCACCATCCAATTCTGGGAATACATCTCATCAACAAAGTGGCACACCTCCTCCAGCTTGTAGTTCAGATTACCATCTTGCGCAAAGGTTTCATTCTCTGCCCTGGGGTAAAGCTGATCTTCACAAGCAGATGAAATACGGCCAATGTCGGCTTCGGCTAAGGTAGTCACATGACTCCCAGACTCTCAAGGACAAAGTACTTCAGAGTTGTCTCTGAGCCCATTTCAATAATCTAAAAAAAAAAAGGATATGTATGGCCTATGTATATTCATTGATTTAGTTACTAACTGTATTATTTATTTGTACCATGCTGGGTAGAGACTACTTCAAACGCTTGAAGTCTCTCAGCCAAGGTGCCGCACATGAGCCAGGGCCTCAGCCACCGCCTCACTGTTTCTCTCACCCGCTTTCGTCTTGGCAGCTGTGACTTTCCTCGAGGCCACGATTGCTGTGCAACCGGAAAATATTGGATATATTGGACAAATCTGCTGGGAAGTTGGTCCCCAATCCTACACGTAGAATCCAAAATTCCACCATAGCCGAGCATGACTCGGTATGTGTATTTTCAGGTTTCAGCAAGAGTTACAACGTATACCCAAATAGACTGATAAACCGAGTGGGGTTTAACTAAACACCGTTAAGCAAGCGGCACAAGCAAGCTTTTTACTTGAGCCGCAACAGCTATAATTAGTCAGCATACTATATTACAGTGTGTTTTACATGGGATGCAATTACACCCCCCTCAGGTGAGCCGGTCACGGCAAAGCTGCCCATTTACCAGGGCGAGACCATTTCGGTCTGCCTTACCGTCCCAGCTCTTTGCAAACCTGAGAAACACTCAAAAGTAATGCGGCTATATACATAAACCAATCGTCCCTGCGAGGTGCACTCAACTCTATCCCTGCTCCCATTCGATGGGGCCGTGTCTGATGACCTTTTGGTACCAGAGTCCATGCCATTTCTGCCATTCACCAGTGTACTGTCGATCTTGGCGAGTACCACTGGGGCAATCCTGCTGAAAGCTTTGTGGGTTGTTGAGCCACACACTCGCCGACGCCGTTGAGGAGGCTGCTTCAACTTTGGCAGATGTTCGGGCAACCGGGCTAGCGGTGCCTTTCTTTGTTGGCCTCGGCCGAAGGCACCAGTCTGCTCAGCCTTTCTTTTGGCTTGGTTCTGCTCCTTTGCTCTTTCAGACTGCTTGCGCTTCTCCTCAAAGTTCTTCTTGTAGGAGTCTTCATTTTGGGCCTTGATCCATTTCAGGTGTCTTTCAGCGCCATGAACTGCCACATGGCCGACACCTGTGCATGAAAGGAGCAAATTGCGGTGAGGATTCCTATCCAAATACTCGATGTACTCTTCCTCGGAATAGATCTCAGTTCTGTACATGTAGATCCATGGTTGATCAATGTACTTGAAAGAACTGTGCACGTCAAGACGGCTAGGGAAGTCCAGAAAAATAAGGCTCATGGCGTTGTGCTCCAACTGCGACTGCTCTGATACTCCCAGTCTGACCTGTGCTTTGGTCCTGTCCGGCTTCGGAAGATGTGCTGCCCGCAACAAATCGTAGCGCTGGCAGTCATATTCGTTTTCACCTTCATTGAGGACACTTTCAGCGAAAGTTGCGTCCTGTGTGAAACGTTCAGCAACAGAGACAAATCCGAGGCTCAAAGCTCTTTCATACCTGCTTTTTGCACGCTTGAGCAAGTCTGCCTGGGGGCTTGAACTTCCACGGGCCTGATCTCCGAGAAGTCCAAGTGACTCCAACTGATGCTGTGTGATGCTCTGCAAGTACTCTCCCTTAAAGTCATAGTAGAGCCCTAACTTGTGGAGTGCGGCTTTGCGGCGTTCAGCAATCTTGGTTCTGTCGGCCTTGCCAGCTCCTTCAAGCATCAATCCACAGACATCGCATTCAAGTTGTCCCTTGAAGGTTTCTGCGAAACATCGTTCACATTGTTTGGTCTCAATCTTGATCGACACCGGCTTGTTCTCCGGTCATCGCCTTTAGGGCGAGACTTCTTTTTCGGCACCAGTGACTTTGAGCTTGAAGCCAGCTTTGGTGATGAAGGCACTGCAGTGGAAACTTCTTGTTCTTTTGGACGAGCCTTTGGAGGCGCGATCTTCGAAACAGGTTCCAAGAAGACCGCGGCCGATGATGCCACCGGCACTGCTGCGGGCACGCTGGAAAGAGCGGCTTTCTTCTTTGCAGGTTCATCTTCTTTTGCTGGTTCAACTGCTGCTGTCACTGCCTTTGGAACTTCAGGTGCGGATGGTGCAGAAGCTCCCTCTTTTGGCGGTGTCTTCGGAGCATCAGCCTTTGGTGGTGCCTTTGGACCTTCAATCTTTGGCGGAGTTTTGGGACCCTCAACAACTGATGGTGGTTTTGGAGCTTCACCTTTTGGAGGGGGCGGCAACAACCTGCTGCGTGCATAGCCTGGCATACCTGATGCTTGAGCCACATTTGGTGGCGGAGGCTTCACTTTTCCTGGGAAAAACAATGGTGCAGCGGGCGCGCCAGTTGAGGCGGCCGGAGATGTGGATCCAGTTCTCTGAGAAGAAGTTCCTGAACCCCAACTTCTCCCCCGCTGCCATGAGCAGAATGTGCCGTGTCCTCATGTCGCCGATAGAGGTTGGTCTTCTTTTGAGTATCGTCAACCGAGATGATGAACTGTGAAGGAACCACGTCACTTGTCAGAATTCCATCAGACGATGTCTTGAAGAAAATGACTCCGCTGCGCACAGCTTCAGACATGGCCACACGGATCTCGATGGGTCGCTCAGCCCTGAGCCCACTGACGTACTGCCTGTCGCTGACCTACACCTCGCTGAAGCAAGAGCGCGCTCTACCTGATGAGACAGCTGCATTTTCATGTTTGTAAAGACATTTGTCACCACGACGACATTTGCCCTGTTGGAAGTATGCGCAAGGGATCTTAGCCATCTCTTCCTTTGATTTTCTTGATGGGGAAGCACTTCTACCACTGCCTTTGCCCTTACCCTTCTTTTTCGGGGTACCAGATCTTGAGGTATCCTTGACATGTTTGTAGGAACAGTCCTTTCCTTTCTCACATTTACCATCCCGAAACTTGTAACATATCTTGTCCCCTTTTGCACCCTGGCTTCGACCGCGGGAACGTCCTCGATCTCCTTGCTTCGACAAATCCGAAAATGTCAGTTGATGAAGTATGACATTGAAGAATTTGACAGAGCTCCCGAAAAGTCAGAGCAGAAGTGCATTCTTACTCAGAAACATTCGAGATCTTTTAGACAGAGAAAGACTCCGATCAAACTGGAACCGGATTGTTGAAAAGAACAAGCAGACTGAAAAGCCTCAGCCCGCTGCACCCGCTCAGGGGGGAAAAGATCGTGGAAGATGTCTCTAAGAACCAAGTCATCTGGTGGAGTTTCCATACCGGCAATTGTGGCATCCCATCGGTTCAAAAACCTTCTAAGGTCCTCCACAGACTCCCCAGTGCGAACGGCTCCTAACAAGTCCTCGACACGATAGAGGCTACCGGCTTCCTCAGACGTCCTGAAGTAATCTTCAAACATCAAAAGGACTCTCCTACCTCTGACCTGGATCCGTTCTTCGACTTTTCATCTTTGAAGTTGTGGATCTTTGTTTCTAAATCACCCTTGGCAGAGCGACTTAACGCTGCCGACAATTTGGCATCAAGTGTGATAAACTTGCCTGGGTCTTGTAGCTTTTCTTCCAACTGGTCCCTTGGGGTCTTGTTGTCAAAGACTTCATTGAGCCAAATCCAAGCCTCATCGGGTTTGTCGGAGCATGACTTGACCTCGTCCCTTGTTAAACATGATTACGCCAGTGACGATAGGCTTCTGGGGCAGGCATGTCGTTCAGCTTGATAGTCTCTGCCTCTTTTGTGCGGGGCTTTTCACCATCTGAATCCTTTGAAGTCAGTCTAGTGATGAGATCTAAAAGTTGTTGACCTGAAAGACCTAAGCTTGTCTCAAAACCCTTCTTGTCAGGTTCACTTGCTACGACCGTAGGGCTAGGCACACTTGTTTCCTGATTTGCCTCTTCATGCTGTGGCCTTTGCACGGGTAATGGTGGTAATCTTGGAGGTGCTGCTGATCCTGCAGGGGTAGTGGCAAACAGATTGCTCAATCTTTCCCTGAGCTAGGCTTGGGTTCTGCTCCAGCCTTCGTACCAACCGACTATGGGGTCATGTACAAGTCCAGATTTGTCCCGCCTAGTCCGTCGTCATCATTTCCGACTTCATCAATCTTGATCTCAGGGGCGCGCTGTACTTGTTGAGTCTCTCCATCAGCTCCTCTACTTGCTCTTGAAGTTGAAAGTTGAGTTCAGCGGACTGAGATTCCTGTCTACTGCACTCCTCCCTCATCTCCTGGATTACAGCTTGTTCCTCTTTCTTGACTCCTTCCATACCTTTTCTTGCATGTTCCACTGTGTCGCCCACGATTCGTTTACAGTCTGCCTCGAGGCTACCTCTGAGTTCGGAATACCTTTGTTCATACTGGGCTGTTACATGAGCTACCTTTTGGTTTCCTCTTTGCTCAGCATCCAGTGCAGCTGCAATTGCAACGTTCTTTAGCTTTGCGTTTGCATCGCTAAGTTCCTTCCTCAGTTTTGTGGCCTCATGCTCAGCTGCCGTTTGGGACACCGTGTATTCTGCTGTCATCTGCTCATGTCTACGCTCAGCTTCTGCACGTTGTTGGGCAATCTCACTAAGACAAACTTGCTCAAACTCTTGGTACAGTTGCTGAACTTTATGTTCCATGATCTGTGTGTGTGCGCCTTTCCTCAGCTTCACGTCTGAACGCGTCAACGTTACCTTCACTTATGTGGGTAAGATTGTTCTGCACAAACTGAAAGTAAGCCTGAACTGGTTGACTGAAGAAACCTTCATCTACAGTCATGGGCGTGGGATTTGCCCCAGGCGAAACATCTGACGGGGCTCCAGTGTGTGCAGGCGTCATCGACCTTGTAGCTGGACAATGGCACCACCTTGTCCAGATATGTCACCAGGTGTCCTTTCCATGGCTTTAGGCTTTAGAGACTACGGCTGATAATCTGTATTTTCAGGTTTCAGCAAGGGTTACAACGTATACCCAAATAGACTGATAAACCTAGTGGGGTTTAACTAAACACCGTTAAGCAAGCGGCACAAGCAAGCTTTTTACCTGAGCCGCAACAGCTATAGTCAGCATACTATATTACAGTGTGTTTTACATGGGATGCAATTACAGTATGATCTTTCCCAATACAAATCTTTCCACATGCAAGTAGCCAACAGCGAGCACACATTTTTTGTCTGGACTAACTGCATCATGCCTTCGTACTTACTGGCATCCCACTGATCACATACACCGTAGAGGTTGGCAGAAAATTGTTCACTTCCAATGTCTAGTGATCGTAATGAAGTCTGGCATCTGCTCGTAGATGCTCACGGCTTTCTTGCGACTTTCCTTCCGTAGGGTGTTTCACTGAGTCACAAGACTGAAGAGTGAAACATAGTGAAACTGGGAATCTACTGTTCGAAAAAGCAATGGCGTAAAGCTATGTAAAGCTGGGGAGGCAAAGTGAATGAGTGGAAGCATCACATGTGTCACGACCTGCCTCACAAAATGGTGCGGTCTTGGAGACTTCCACTTCCCTTTCTGCCAAATCGTCCAAATACCTTCAGAGCATACCACTGGATTCTGAACAGAGCTTTGAAAAGTTCAAGTGCGCTTGTCTTACAATGGCATTCTGTTGCAAAAGCTTTCAATTCATACTTATCAAACTCAGGCAGGACAGCACAAGCCACTGATAAAAGCAAAAGCTTTGGGGCCATAGGCAACAACTGGTCTCCACCGTTCTCGTTTTGAAGCTTCAAATCTCATCATGATCTTGGGTCCCACGCACAACAGTTGTTGGGCTCATGTAGAACGCTGGCACCACAGTCTGGTCCTTAGTTTGCTTGTGCTTTTTGTGAACTTCTGCAGATTGTCAGCAAGACAGTCACCCTGGCTGCCACAATAATTTCATGGCAAAATATGGCAAACACCTAAACCTCAAAACTGACAGCGATACGTGCGCACTCAAACCGCTGCTGGGCCGGCTTTGTGCATCCCCCATACAATCATGGGCCAAGGCCAACCCACTTCAGTTCTGTCCTGTGGTTTAAGTACAGGTGTAGTGCAAGCTTTCCGTGTGCCTATGAATCACTGTTTTCACATGTGCATACTGTCTAAGTATAATACCGTTGATGTAATGTATGTGTACAGGTACATAATTACAAACTCACACAGCTTGCCCGGAAACTGGCACAGATTTCAGACCAAACCCCGTCTTTTGCCAGAGTCTTACGCACGATGTAGGATTCATGTAAACATGTCCCTGCCATTCGCAATATGGCTCCCTGAACACTCATCTTGCGACTGTCTCTGCACGTAAATCATTAGGGACCACACTTCTGCTTCCAGAGGAGTCGCCATACAAATGTCATGGGCCTGAGCAATCTGAGCACAGAGATACAACATTTTCGACAAACCGGGTGAATCTCCTGGACAGTTACGTCATTGGATCTGAGGTCATCTGAGATCAACACATCGCAATAAGGGTAGGAGTATTTCTTGTATAAATAGCCTAAGAAATCTAAGAATGAAAGGAAAAATAAAACTCGTGAAAAATGTGAAAACTCTTGCATCTTGATGCAGACTCTTGAAAGCATAAACGGTCCATGATCAGATCATATGAAATCACTCATGAGTGCAGTGAGTGCAAAGTGCAGTGGGGACGGAGAGTCACACAATTGGAGCACACTTTCTGACTTGAGATAAATGAGTTTCACATGTGGAAAATGAATCAAGCTAATCAAGTGCCTTCCGCAACAACATCTGAAGTTCCCATACCCAAGCAAGGTCTCAACAAGGGCAGTCTGGAAACAATTTGTAGTGCCCCACTCCAATTCCAAGGGCACAGTATCCTTCAACCTGGCAGGCTTGGGAGCTCCAAAAAAAACACCAACAGTTGACTCAGTTGAAACTGACGCGTCTTCCAAACCTCCAGCCATTTGGATCATTCTCTGCCGGCTCCAGCTCAATCTCAATGCCTGCCCGAACAGTCCGAACACACAAACTATGCAGCTGAAAAGGAAGGATCATAATTGTCATGCATGGGTGACTATGCTAACTCATCTTCTCTGATTTCTCTGTATTGTTTCTGGCCCTTTAGGGCTCTACATGTATCTCTCCCATGTTCAGGACAGTCTTTGCCTTGCCTGTTGGCTCAACACCTCGCTTCGCCAAGGCTTTCTTTGTGGCTACAGAACGCCGCTGCCGGGGATTGCGATTCACCTGCCAAGACAGAAACCAGCTGAAACCCCGGAAAATTGACTGAGAGCAGCAGAGACAGCTACAGCTTGTTACACCCGCATTGAACATACGCTTCACAAGGGATGCTCATTAACGCACCGCTTTTAGTCAAATAAACTATCGAAGACTTCCAGTCACTCCAGTCGATATAACATGTGCAATGCATCGAGATCATACACATTTTTCATTTTTTTCTCAGCAGCCAAACTCTTCATGCTTCGTTTCTGACATCCCAGCCATGACTTGAGTCTCAGACATCCACCACCAACGACTCCTCCAGTTTTTGGGTCACCAGGAAGAGCGAAGCACCTTCGATTTGTTCTATGTCACCCACATGGCTTGAGATGATCTTCAACAGATCACCAGCATGCGATATGTTCACTTGGGAAAAACACCATGTGAAAATGTATGAAATCTGAAACTGTCAGACTCCCCCCTGTACCATCCTGTACCTTCCAAAGCGTCTGAACATTTGAGTGATTGCCTTTGAGATCCTTTGAGGAATGGCTTGGCTATGGCTCCATCCGCTGATAAGCCTCAAAATCCCTCAAACATTCAGACAGCTGAAATGCGTGATTATTTTAGGCTTTTGAAGAGGTATCAACAATAATAATAACAATAATATACAATAATAACAATCATAGCAACGGACAATCACTAGAATTTGGCTGATAATCATGGTTACAATATGACAATATATTACAATAATGATTACAACATACAGTAGAGTGATAGGAGAGAGAGAGAGAGAGAGAAAAAAAAAGAGAAAGAAAGAAAGAAAGAACAAAACACATATTATTGAGAAAAAAGATAGTTTGGTCACTGCGTATCTGGCTTCTACATGGCCTTGAGGCATCTTCTGGGCAAGCTTGGCAACGGCTTGCATCTCAGGATCTCCAAAGGTTGTCGCAACTGCGATGGCAAAGGTTGCCTCCGAAGGACACTGTCTGGGAGCTGTTGAATTCTGTTCATGAGATGCACCATGAAAGCAAAGGTGATGCTAGGAGTCACAGGAGAAAAGAGGCTACGTTGAAGAAAGTGGCAAACGATGGCAAACGTATGCAAACAATTGCGAACATAAGAATTGAAGGACTGGTGAAAACTGGATGAGCTCGGTAGCAGTTTGTGAAAGATAACGACTGAACCTCAGGTGCAATGGGCTCCAGGATCCCATCAAACTCGGACACGAAGTCACCTCGGAGACTCTCTCGCAACACATCTCAACACCAATTTTGTAGGACTTTGGGATACTTTGGATCGCTCGCTGAATTTCTCTATATTTGCTGAAGGCTCCATGTGCTGCAATCAAGATGCAGTCGACCTGCTTGACTGCAGAAGTGCAGTGCAGGTATAGAAGTCCGAGATACAGGTCATGGCTACCCATCAGAGATTGAGGACATCTCAAATTATATAAGTTCTCTGCTTCCCAAAAGCAAACAGCAAATGGAATCAAACGGAATTGAAGGCTTTCCCAGTCCAAACAGCACCCAAACTTTATGGAGTAGTGTCAAGCATTTGCTTGGTAACACATGAATCCCGGATTGATCTTCCTGCTTGCATGTCTTTGCGCACGCTGTTGCTAGGAGGTGGCACCTTTCACAAAGCTAATCTCTGGTTTCACCATCCCATCAGGGAGTTCGACCTTTGCAGCAACGACAAGTCTGGATGAAGGCATAACCAGGTGCAGCAGTGAACAATACGCACACATGCGCACCCATTATCGCCTATTGGTGGCATTTTGTGTATTGCTGATATATTGATCTAATCGTATGTGATCTATATGATTCTATATGATTCCATATGAGTACTGCTGACACTGTATGATAGTAATATTGGTTGATGTTGTATAGATGTCAATGGCATCGTCGAAACCTGCAGATCGGCGTGGCCTCCGCATACTTTGCCTGAACTTGCGCTTCAATGTCATTGAGGCTCTGCAGGGCTTCGACACCAATCACCTTCAAAACATGGTTGGCAAAGCTGTCGGGTTCCAAAGATGCTGGGGACCTTTTAGAAAAAAGCTGCATTTTTCAAAACTCCTCTGTTGCTGTCGTAGATACTTGTGGAAGAGAGTTTGTGAGGTTTTCGATTTTGGTGACTTTGAGCTGCTAAATGCTGCTAATGGGCTTGACGTGAAGTATATCAATCTTCCGGGTCATTCCTCTAGCTGTGCAGCATCTGGTTCTCATCTATCGGTACAGCTGCAATCAACATCAATCAACTGCATATGCTGCCCATATGCTGCCTGATTTCTATCGATTTCTGGTCCCCGCCTTTTGGAAGGGATGCAGGAGCGCGGCTGCCAAGCACAGCTTTCCGCAACCGCTGCCAAAGTCTAGGAAGACCCCTGGCATATCTGGCATTTGGAAAATGTATCCAGATGTATCCAGAAAGCGGCGCATCTGGAAGATGTTGCGCACATATAACATATTAATATGCCGAGCCTTGCCCTGGATACATTGGACCACACTTGTCTTTCACCAAGTCCACAAGATCTGCGACCTGCTGGTGACTGTTGGTGGTACTATGTTCCATGTATAAATCCATTGATCAGGGTCCATCACTACAGTCAAATGGAGATTGCTCATGCTGCTTAGAGCCGAATTGAAACACTCTGAAACTGGCAAAATGTGGCAAGAGTTCTTGGAGCTTTAGCAGATTCTGGTCTGAATTTGGCTGTTCTTTGGGAAAAAGTGTTCGTTTTCAGGGTTGTGTTGACCACCTCAATCTTGATCTGGAAAGGCTCAAGAGGTGCCAAGTGCTATGCCAAGCTGCAACTTGGAAGTTTAGTTCGCTGTAGGCCAACGCAATGTTCGGGGTTACCTGGCAGGTTTAGAATGGCTGAAGTTGCAACAAGTTGACGTATCTGAAACAAACATTAGTGCACTAAGAGGCAGCAAGAAAGCTTAATGTCAGTAACTTATAGTAACTTGTGGTTTCATGAAATGCGATCTACTCTTATTTCTTGCCATCAAACACATGCAGCAGAAAAGGTTCCTTATTGGCTGCGTGGCACCCACGTTTTCTGTGCTTGAACGCTGTAACAAACTCGAAAGAGAACGTGGGGTATATCATAAGGCATCATAATATGGTCATTGATGGTACAGTAATTGTATGCAATTTTATTGCCTACGATCAGAGTGCTCTATCTTTTGCTATGTTTTTCTACCACGATGTGTCGCATCTAGTGAGCGCCTCAGGTGGCTCCTGCCCCTCACCATCTTCATTCGGTGGAGGCGGTGCCTGGCTATGACCCAGGACCCAAGCCCTTCCAAAATTGTTGCCTCCAATGGAAACCTACAGTCATCATCATTCATCCTCATTCACTCATCATTCACTCATCAATCATCAACATTCTGCTTTGACTTGGCTAAATGATGTGACATGATGCTAAATGAAGCTGCATGATGAATACACACCATGTCAATGTGGCAGCCTCCTTTTCACGGCGCTCTGCCATGGACTTCTGCTTGACCTGATGGAATTCAGTCTGCTTCGTTTGTCGAATATTGACTGCTCAACAATGAAGGCCCACGGATGCCTAAAGTCCGTTCATGATATCGGTTCAATTCATGTCATAGGGTTTGAAATCATGAGATATCATGAGTAAACTATGTAGTACTGTAGTAAACTTTAAGATATCTTGAGATCAAATAGTGGATGCCCTGCAGGTGACCTCAAGTGCTTCATATCCTTTGAAGATCTCCTCGAAAATGCCCAGTCGAGTTTGGAGTTCTTGTTCCTCGTGTGCATCAATTCTGTATAGAAATGCAAGAAGGAAACATAACAACAAGGGAACTGCTTCCGAATTCAACCCCCCGCGAAGCTAGCTTTGCAACACACGCAGAACGCTGAGATTACACATGACACAGGACTCGTGAATCGCATCTCAAGATCTCTTGGGCCAAGCATCTGTGAGAGAAGGCACTGGCTCTGGAGGTACCTCTGCTGCCTGTGGATGAAGAAATGTTGAAGACTGAAGACTGCACAAACCTTTGAATCTATTTGACTGCGATCTACTGTGGTTTCCCACAAGTTCGCGCAGTGTTGTAGAGTGATCCAGCCCATCAGGGCGCTGAGCCAGATCCGACTGCAATCAATTTGTCGGCGCGGTGTTCTGTTGAAGCATGCCAGTAACCTTTCGTTGGCCAGATGTGTGTTCGCCTTGTTGCTTGGGTTGCCGCAAGAAACACAAAAAGAAGTGAACATTTTCTTGCTGGCCTTACAGATAACACGTCGATTCAAATCGCAGCAATTGCACATGGAATCACATGGAGGTATTTATATAATTTTATATACACTTATTTACTAACATCTGTAAAACCAACAGCTCGGGTTTGGGGGCAGTGCAGGCCCAGAAGACATGTTTGCCCAAAGATTGCCCTTGCCTCGTCCTCTGCCATGGCCTAAGCCGATCCCCATCGGAACAAATCATAACACATCTGCAACAGTCAGTAAGACATCAATTTCACACAACCATGCTGAATTGTAAATCCTGATGTCCTGCCTGAGCAGCTTGACAGACAAGGCGACTCAAAGGTTCTAAGCCGAAATCCGTTGTGCAAGGGTCCAGAGATAACTCGATATCTCATAGGACATAGAAAGCCATCTATGATCATCTATGCCCAAATCGGGAGATTCAGCGAGTCAAGACTGGGTAGGAAGGGTAAGCTGGTGGTGGCCGGGGTCTCAACTCTCAACGAACAAAGTCAGCACCAATTTTGTTCCCCTCTGCTAGGAAGCTGCTCTTGCATCCTAGAGAATCAGATGACACTATTGAAGCAGAAAACAAACAAACAAGCATGCAGCATGAGTATTCATTTGCAATCTAGAAGGGTTCCTCATATCTAGACTCAAAGAGTACCACGTGTATCTTCAATGCTTCAAAGTGCAAAATACCTCCACCGGACCAGTGGGAGGGACGCACCAACTTTGAATGCAGCTGTCCTCTGGCATGGCGCTACTCTAACACTAAACATCCACAAAATCCTTCAAAGTTTTTCAAAACCACAAGCTCAGCGCCAAATTCAGAGCATCAAGAGTCCACAAGGGACGTACCTACTACCAACCTATTGAGAGTGAAAACATTAGCGCTACAGACCTTCAGACCTGCACGCTGAAGATGACTCTGGTGAAACAGGAAGATTTGCCATGCCCTCTGGGCAGGGCAAAGTTCTGGTCACTTGACCAACTCAGCAACCTAGCGCAAAGCCGTAGCGCCGTAGAGCTTTGGTTTCCACTGGCAGTGCAGACTCAACAGATCTCAACCGATGGCCAAATTGAGACACTGTGAAATCTGCAGAGGCGAATCTGGGCACACTGCTCGTTAGAGTCCGACTCGTGTGGCCTGTGGAAATGCCCAAATGGGTGAAATGGATTGAAATGGGTGAAAGATGGTGAAAGTGTAATTGCATTGCTCAAGAATTGCAACTGAACATATGCAATGATATGCAAAGATCATCAAGGATCTATGTACGACAACGTGAAGCCTTCCCAGAAAGAAAGGAATGTTGAGATAATGATAATGATTTCTGAAATCTTACACACACACACACTGTTACATTGACAGCCTGATTTGCATACACCAGATGAATCTTGCCACATGGTGTAAACTTGAAAGTGATCAAGACATTGCAAGTCAATACTTAATATTAATAACAAAATATAACAAATATTTACAATAATTTACAAAATATTACAAGTATCAAGACATTCGAACTGCGCCTGCTCAGCTCGAGAGATGCCAGGACTAGCTTCCGGGCTCTGCGCTGGGCCTTCCTCGCAGTCCTGTTCCACTGTTCCAGTGAGTCTCCACTCCACACAGGTAACTCAGTATCTGTTCTTGCCCGCTTGGCCAATTGCATCGTATTGTGATGTATTGCAAGTATTGTGATGTATCATGTATTGCCATGTGATGTTTAAATCAGCAAATTCTGTCCTCGAAGTCAAAGGGATGGTACTTTGTGTAGGGCTCTAGCTCCTGTCCGCTGCATGTCAATATGGTTCCCTTCCAAAATGATGCAGTTCAAACATTCGCTGAACTTGATTGCTCACACATCACAGAGTCTGTCGACTTCCATTGCCAGTCTTGCAGCAACGACTCGACTTGCCAAGGCATATATATCCAGATATATCCAGCATCCAGTCGTCCTTTTTGAGGCTTGCATAATCTGGATTTCCGGCTTGAAAGTCCAAGCATGCCTCAAAGCATCCCACAACTTTCACCTAACTAATGTAACATCAAGTCAAAATTGTGTTTGATTCAGCTGCCAACCTTTTTGAGGGCATCGATCCACTCTCCAGGCTTGCGAGGGGCCACAAAATTGATGAGGAACTTTGGGATGATGCCCTGTCGGAATCCGCTAAAAAGCAAAAGACCGTGTCTCCATGTTTCTCGCGCTGCAAAGAAGCAGAAGAAGAAGAAGAAAAATCTTGGAATCCTATATCAGATTTATTGCAGCCTTGCTCACAAAGTCTAGGACAGCTAGTGGTTTGAAATGTTAAAAGCAGCAGGCTCGAAACACACCAAACCATGAAGTCCAACACAGGTCACGAACACTCCGAACACTCACCATTGATAACAGGAAGCCGAGCTGGTCCTTCACATCCGTGCATGTCATCAAAAAGACTTTGGTGCCCTTCTCGCTCCTCAAGGCTCTTGTGATCTGTTGACAATGTGAATATAATTTGAAAATATCTGAAACATGCGTCAGGAACTCTGAAGGCTTTATGCAGAGTCTCAGAGTTCATGCCCACTGCTGAGACAGACACCCCTCTTCGTAGTGTCGGATAACGTATCCAGAGGTGAAGGATTCAGCGCGAATCGTCCTGGGCCATCCACTGACATGCGGCTGCCTGATGACGCAAAAACCAAAATGAAATCATGCACACGCCTTTCAAAAAAGGAAAGGGAACTGTGCATTCATCGTGAAGCACTTGAAAGGAGAGAAAGAGAGATTGAGAGAGAGGGAAAAAGAAAGAGAGAAAGAAAGAGAGAAGAGAGAAAGAACAGAGAGAGAACAGAAAGACAACAGACAGAGAGAACAAAGAGAGAACAGAGAGAGAACGGAGAGAGAACAGAGAGAGAGAGAGAATAGAGAGAGAACAGAGAGAGAAGCGAGAGAGAACAGGGAGAGAACAGAGAGAGAACGGAGAGAGAACAGAGAGAGAACAGAGAGAGAACTGAGAGAGAACCGAGAGAGAACCGAGAGAGAACAGAGAGAGAACAGAGAGAGAACGGAGAGAGAACCGAGAGAGCACAGAGAGAGAACAGAGAGAGAACAGAGAGAGAACAGAGAGAAAACGGAGAGAGAACAGAGAGAGAACGGAGAGAGAACAGAGAGAGAACGGAGAGAGAACAGAGAGAGAACGGAGAGAGAACAGAGAGAGAACAGAGAGAGAACAGAGATAGAACAGAGAGAGAACAGAGAGAGAACAGAGAGAGAACAGAGAGAGAACAGAGAGAGAACGGAGAGAGAACCGAGAGAGCACAGAGAGAGAACGGAGAGAGAACCGAGAGAGAACGGAGAGAGAACAGAGAGAGAGCAGAGAGAGAACGGAGAGAGAACAGAGAGAGAACAGAGAGAGAACAGAGAAAGAGCAGAGAGAGAACAGAGAGAGAAGCGAGAGAGAACAAGAACAGAGAGAGAACGGAGACAGAGCCGAGAGAGAACAGAGAGAAAACGGAGAGAGAACCGAGAGAGCACAGAGAGAGAACAGAGAGAGAACAGAGAGAGAGAACAGAGAGAGAGAACAGAGAGAGAACAGAAAGAGAACGGAGAGAGAACAGAGAGAGAACGGAGAGACAACAGAGAGAGAACAGAGAGAGAGAACAGAGAGAGAGAACAGAGAGAGAACGGAGAGAGAACAGAGAGAGAACAGAGAGAGAACGGAGAGACAACAGAGAGAGAACAGAGAGAGAGAACAGAGAGAGAGAACAGAGAGAGAGAACAGAGAGAGAACAGAGAGAACAGAGAGAGAACAGAGAGAGAACAGAGAGAGAACAGAGAGAACAGAGAGAGAACAGAGAGAGAACGGAGAGAGAGCCGAGAGAGAACAGAGAGAAAACGGAGAGAGAACCGAGAGAGCACAGAGAGAGAACAGAGAGAGAACAGAGAGAGAGAACAGAGAGAGAACGGAGAGAGAACCGAGAGAGAACGGAGACAGAACAGAGAGAGAACAGAGAGAGAACAGAGAGAGAACAGAGAGAGAACAGAGAGAGAAC